ACTTGAAAAAGTCAATATTTGACCAACTTCTGCTACCGCAATTTGAATTTGTATTATTAAGGGAGGTTTTCCTATTTTAAAATTGTCAACCAACGTTAGGCATTTCAAGAAAAATTTAGATTATATATATAACATGTTGGTAAAACAGCACATTACACATTAACAAAAAGTCAATATCTTGACATTATAGACCATTGCAAATAAAATTCGTTTTAAAACTGTATACTAGGAAGGTTCCATGCATGTGAGAGTAAATAAGATGAATAAATTCGGACGGAATCACATATTTGACAACATTTTAGATTTAAATGTAAACTTCGATCGATCAAACAAGATGTAATTTATTTAGTTGCCAAAAAACTAGAGTGTATATTTATTTTTATATGTAGTTGTAAGAGAAAATAGTTATAACAAATTTATTAATTGGCTCGAATCCACTAACATAAGTTGAGAAACAAATTTTGCAGCTTCTGCAGCTCATTTCTTTGCAAAAGAGTTGAGAACTTTTTTTTTTGAATATAGGAGTTTGATTCTACATTTTTGCAAAATAATTGAGAAAAATGGGCTGAATGTCTAGTCTAGTTGACAGGAAAAAATCCAATTATTAATGAATTAGGTATTCATGCTGCATTAAATTGGCTGACTATATATAATGTTTTTGTGTTTTAAAAAGTTTAAGTCTCTTAAGAAGACAGCCAAGAGATTCGTATTTGGATATGTTTGTATAGATGACACATGAATCAAATTATTCAAATCATTACAGAATATTGATATCTCTTCTTTTATTTTATTTTTGTCGACAGACTTTGAATTTTTGATATCTTCTTACATAATTCAATACCTACACATATATTTGACCGTAATTTCGTCATACAATATAAACTAAAATTATTAACATGTTATAAATTCGTATTGTTTGGACTTAGGAAGCTTTTTAATGACGAACAATTAATGTAACAATATAATGTCAACTAACTTTGATTTTTCTTTTAGTGTCTTCAAAATTAAATTTGGTCTCCCATAACAGCAATAGAGGGAATAATGTGAAACTATGATGTATACTTTCCTAGCTAAACCTTAAAACGGCTACGTTTTCGTTGCCACGTTGATATGAAAATACAACGCGTGAAGAAATGCATGCAATGCCAATGGAGTTGGACCGTTTGCGTAACTCAAACAAAGTTTAAACGACTTTTTAAAATGTCAAGAATATAAGATAATTTGTATAAAGTGCAGATTTTAATCAATTAAGTTTCGTTTATTATTATTGTATTTACTTAAGCAAAACCCACTAGCACGAGTTGTTCGAATTACGCGGATAAAGCATGTGCCTTCTTCA